ACCCAAAGAGTGATGAACACATGGAATTCACTGCCACAGGAGGTGGCGGCGGCTACAAACATGGACAGCTTCAAGAGGGAATTAGATAAGCATATGGAGCAGAAGTCCATCAATGGCTATTAGCCACAAGGTATAGATAGGGACTCTCAGGCTGGGGCAAGTGATGCATTCTTGGTGCGTGGGGGGGGGACAGTGGGAGGGCTTCTAGTGTCCTGGCCCCACTGGTGGACCTCCTGATGGCACCTGGTATTTTTGGCCATGGACAGTGTTGGACTGGATGTAGCATTGGCCTGATCCAACATTGGCTTCTCTTATGTTCTTATGTTCTTGGAGCAGGACAATATTAGTGCAGAAAACAACAGATAAACAGAGATAACTGCAAGGTAAGTGGCTGCGAATCAAACACAGAGAAAACCTGAAGAGAGGTCAAAGTGCAGAAAGGACCAGAGGGAGCTTTGACTCTTGAAAGCTCATACTCCAAAAACCTTGATCTCTAAGGCAGGGGTGTCGAACTCATTTGTTATGAGGGCCGGATCTAACATAAATGAGACCTTGTTGGGCCGGGCCACGCGTGTCATAAAATGTAATGCCAGGTAGCGGAGACATAAACTTTATAAAGGACACAAACACAAAGGTGTTTTTTTTTTACTTAAAATAAAAACATGCTTAAAACATCAGCACTCTTGCAATATTGTGTTTATTTAACAGTGTCTGATCACTGACACCTCTTGCTCTGAATGATTGCATCAAGATGTCTGTGCTGTTGCAATCTTGAGTATGATGTTCAGGTGTGTATCTGTAAGCTGCACACCTATGATGACGCAGCAGCAGCAGAACTGGAAGAAGAAGCAGAAGACAGCCAGTTCCACTGTGGGCCTGATAGAAGCCCTCCGGGGGCCTGATGCCACAAGACTCAATTCTAGCTCTTCTGATCTGTAGGTGACTAGCCTCCAGCATTGGAAATGCAGGCAGTTGGGTAGACACGAAACTGCCTTATGCTGAATCAGACCCCTGGTCCATCAAAGCCAGTATTGTCTACTCTGACTGGCAGC